ATTTTATTAAAGCATATTTTTATCTATAGGACAAATAACAACACATAAACATAAAACACACACATAATAAATATATATATATATATATATATATATATATATAAATCAGTATGAAAAAAATAAAATATCTTTTTTGAGATTGATAGATAGATATAGAAAAAAGTTGATTGATTAAAAGTATATAAAAATATATACAATATATATATATATATGGAAAAATAAAATATGTATGTTTTGGTTATAATATATAATATATATATATATTATATATATATAATATATATATATATATATAAACGTTAACGTTTTTGGTTGTAATGTGGATTTATTTAGAAAAATATTATACTTTGTTTTACATAATTTTATACGACACGTGTTTTTCTGGTCTCGCGACCGTCTTCAGGTAAAAGTGGAATTTTTACATATTATTAAAATAATTAATTTTTCTTCATGTTCAATGTGAAATATTCTCGATATGAGACATTCTCTGTTTGTGTTGGCAATCTAAATTTTCTACAAAGAATTGTCAATGAAGAGTTTAAATAAAAGGGTCATAAAACAATTAAATTTTGTAAATATGAAATAGTTATCGGCATTTAATCTTTTAATGTTTTTAGTGACTGAATATTTCTTGGATCTGTTTCTATAACATAGGTTTCCTGTCAGCATGCGTATATATATGCGTGCGTATATTATTATTTATACATATTGTCCTACTTCTCAAGGCGATTAATAAAATATTTGTATTTATATATACATACACACATACGCACATACACACTATAAAACCAGGTTTAAATCAGTACACACACACATATACACACATATTTTCCAAGCACATGGAACCTTTTAAAAACACACACACACACATAACATGGCACACACACATACACAAACTACTAATCTACAAGTAATATAATTTGTTGTAAAATACATATATATACCAAATGTATATATATATGTTCACATTATATATATCTCTCGTGTCTTAATAAATGAGTGTGCGTCCATGTATGTGAGCGATTTGATCATTATCTATTCATCAAATCTAGTTTTTGTGTGCATGTTTTGTTTTACAATGTGGGGTTATTGATCTTATTCAGTTCGGGTTTGAATTAAATTATAAATTTTTTTTATCTGTATTTTTAGATATAGTAATTGTCTGTTTGATATATCGGCATGATATTAAACTTACCCTGGTTACATTTGAAAATGTGTAATGATACAAAAGTTTTCTGTTGTCTGTCAATTTTATATTGCTTTTGATAAGGGAGACCCTGTTGTTCAGTTGTTAATCAAAACATTTGATGATTTATATATGACTTTCTTACATTTTGTGCATTTAAGTGCATAAATTACATTTTTGGAGTTGCAGTTTAAGTTTTTGTTTATGAATGAATGTTTTTTGGGGTTTTCAAAAGTGTAGGAGTTTCCTTCTATAATGATGTCAAAAAAGACATCTTTTTTTGTTGCATTTTTTGTGAAACCTGTATTTTGTGTTTCTAAATTTAGACTAAGGTTAATATGTGTTTTTAGGTTTCTAGATTGGCGTTTGCTTTTAATTATTTTGGTTGTTTTAGTATATTATTCAGTTTATTATTCTTATATAATATAAATATAGATTTTTGTAAATTTCTGGGAATAGATATTGGATTGTTTTTGTTGTACGTTGAGACATATACTAGAGTAAACAAATAACGTTACGTTTTTTTTTATTTCTAAGTTGGTCTAGATGAATTTCTTAATTTGAGTTCAATACCTTTGTTTATTAGTGTTGTGGGGTAGCCTAATATTCTTGAGTTTTTATTAGTTCTTCTAAGCGGATTTTTCGAAATTCATAAGAGAGATGTTTATCAGTCAACTATAGTGCAAAATTCTACGTGCTAGGATTTAGGGGATGGATTTTAGGCATGCATTTTTGGGTGATGGCTCTTGAAATGAAAAGTATTGGATGTCTGTTTAAAATGGTAGATATCTGTGATTATGTGGGAATTTTTATTTCTATTGAGTATATCTAAAAATGGTAATTCGTTAAAATTATATTCTTGCGTGAAAAATTTTTTGGGTGTAAGTTTTGAAGTAGTGTATGGAATTGGTTAATATCACCCCATGATGATTTCAAAAGATTTGCAATCATCTACAATAGATTTTCCAAGATTTAGTGAATTACATTTTTATATATTTGCCCCATATATTTGTTAATGTTTTTTAAGGTTTTCTTTAGGTAAAAAAATAATATTAGGGTGGCATATATTGGTGCCATTTTTTGTTTCCAGGAATCGCAGTACCTAGGGTTTGGATATAGTTTTTGTTTCAAATTCAAAAGGTGTTATTGTTTAGAAATTAGGTCTATACTATCGATAATGAACTCTTTAGTGAATCTCGGATCATGCTTTTCTGGATGTTTTTCAATCCAGAATGAGAGATATCTTTTTTTCCTAGTTCATGGGGTATTTTATTGTTAGGCTACTGACAAAAAAAGTTGCCATATTATTTTTTGGATTTTGTTTTTTGGTATGCATTTAAAGAAATGGATACTTTCTCTGATGTTTCTTTTAATTTGTTTAGTATATTAGAGAATATATATATCTATTAGTTTCTCAGTTTGCTAGTGGGACAGAATGGTTTTGCTACTATGGGTCTGAATTAAGGTCACTGGGGTTTGGGATTTTTGTATTAATTGAATGTGTATTATAGCTTTTTTTTATTTCTTTTTCGATTTATGAATTTAGGTAGTAGTGAGATATTGTTTTTTGGGTTTTATTTTTATTTCAAAAAAAATTTTTTTTTTTTATTAATTTTTCCAATTATGTATTTGTGCAGAGTTTTGTAATTTTTGTTATATAATTTTTTTGTCTATGTTAGTGTCAATTAAAAAAAAAGCTGTTCCTATCCTCTAGTGTTTCTAGAATAGACATTTTAAAGTATGTCCTGTCCATGATTACTATACGCTGCCTTTATCTGCTTCTTTTATAATTATGTTATTATTTTTTTGAATGTTCTCTATATATAGAATTTGTCAAATATAAGCCAATTGTGAAAATGATTTTATTTTTCCTGTAGGTCCATCGTTCATTTTTTTAAAAAAAAAAAATATTTTTCTCATTGGTTTTTTTATTTTTTTTTTTATGAAAAAAATTGCGATTTTTTTTTTACATTTGAATTTCATCTGTACTACTTTCAAATTGTTAAATATTAAAAATAGTCTCAGTTTGCGTTCAAATTTTAGGGGAAATTTTTTTTAAAAATACTATAAAACCTTTTTCATAAAATTATAAGAAATTCAAAGCCCAATCAAAGTAGGTTGATTTCGTCATTTACAGTGATATATATAGATAGGTTTATTATTTTTTGGGTTTTGTGTCATCTAAACTGGTTTTCTTGTTCTATACATTTGGGGCTCGATAAAAAAAATGATTGTTTATTTTAATATATCTTGGTTTTCTAAGAGATACCTTCTTCCTGCAGTTTTTTTTGAGTTTTCTAGCTAGTGTGATCTTTCATAAAAAAAATTATTTATTTATAAATGATGAACTTTACATATATGTGTATCTTTTTTTTGAAAAGGGGCCTGTTCCAGATGTTCCTAGGTTTGTTGTTTGAAATTGATTGTAAAAAATTTATTAGAACTTTTTTAAAAATTCTGGTTAAAACTCCTGGATATGGAACGTTCCTGGTTTGGTTTCAAAAGTGCTATTTAACTTATTTGATAAGTTAAAGTAAAATTAAAAAAATCGTTATCTTTCTGTTTGTGTTAATTAACATGGTGGTCTGTACAGGTTTATTTTGCGCTGTTCAGTATATTTTCATAATTCATTATTTTTTAACACTGATGAATGCCTGTGGTAGTGGCTTTATTGGGGTTCTTGCTTTGTGTATGTGTTTGCGTGTAATAAAATGTGTAAGGATAATTACAATCAGAAGTTAGTTTGTGGATTTGTAACGGTATGGTAGATATCATAAATATAAAATACAGCGGACGAATGAGACAATGTTTTGATGTGTTTATGGGTTAGGATAAATATTTTGGCAAAAATAAATACCTGATGATCATCTACGCATAAATGGAATGCATGATTTATTTTTCATGTTTTTTTTTAATTGTGGGTGGAAGGTAAACTTTTTGGACTTTGAATTGATTTTTGTTTTCCTCCAGTCTCAAACAAGATAAATTTTTAAAGAGGTACTTGGATAATAAATTTATCGAACAAACCAGATTTATCTAAACTTCCTGAAGATGACCTATATAATAAATTTATATACTTTTGAATAAATTAAACTATTGATTGCATAGATCCCGTATAATTGCCAAATGTAAAACCTGATACACTGTCTATATAGTTTCTTTGTACATTAATTTATCAACATTTTAAAACGATAATAATTTGTTATCAATGTTCACTGTATTATTTGTGTATATATATATATATATATATATATATGTATAGAAAATTTGTGCCTGTGTGTTTTTTTAAAACAAATATGTTTACACAATTCCTTGTAGTAAGATTAATATATCATTTATGGTAAATATACGCACGCATATATACACGCATGCTGACAGGAACACACCAAAATAGAAACAGATCCAAGAGCACATAGGGGTCACTAAAACATTAAAAGATTAAATGCCGATAACTACTCGCTGGACAAACCTTAATTGTTTTATGACCCTTCGCGCAGAACTCTTCATTGACAATTCTAGAAAAAAATTCGGATTACCAACACACAAACAGAGAATGTCTCATATCGAGAATATTTCACATTGAACATGAAAAAATTAATTATTTTAATAATATGTAAAAATCTCCACTTTTACCTGAAGACGGTTGCGAGAGACCAGAAACACGTGTCGTAAAATTATGTAAAACAAAGTATAATATTTTTTCTAAATAAATCCACATTACAACCAAAAACGTTTGCGGCACCTCTCTTCTTTTTTATATATATATATATATATATATATATATATATATATATATATATAGGATCGGATAGACATAGATAAATAGGAACAGATAGATAGGATGATAAACGGACTGAGATAGATAGATAGATAGATAGATAGAATAGACTTAGATGCATAGACAAGTGGGTAACTGGTTCGATTGATAAACAGGAAAAGCGAAGTCGGGGAATAATGTTTCGAAAAGCCGCAATAGTTTAATCTTCTCTGCTTTCTTGCCGTCGTGATCAAGAAATTAGGACAACGTCATCAGCACATGAAAAGGAAAATGATCTTTTCAGCTCGAGAGGCGATCAACACAAAAACCCCTCACTCCGCTGACCCCGCCCCCACAAAACACACGTGCGCCTAACACTATCGGCAACATTGGACAATTTTGTTTTTTGTCAATTACGACGTCTGATCAATACATTGCAATAGTCATCAGTCCCGGTCGTTGAAAACCGCGGCACGACAAGCCCACCGCCCCTTCGATCTGATGATCAATTCCGGCCCAAAGAATGTCCCTCATCCAGATCATGGAAATCAAAGACTCTTGCTTTACTTGAAGGAAGAAACCCTCGAGTGATCCGTACATTTTCCGTCCTGTTGTCTCGTCTTCGGCAAGAGAACAAGGAGAATGACGTCGGATAAACAAAAGGAAGATCATATGAAAAGTCCAGTGGACCCACATGACCGTGGCAATAATGGGACAATACTTGATACGGATGCATTTATTTTATATATTATCTACAGAAATTTATATATATATATATATATATATATATATATATATATATATATATGTATAAATGAAGAAATATAGTTTTATTTGTCCTATATTTATCGCATTTATTTATATATATATATATATATATATATATATATATATATATATATATATATATATATATCATATGTGTGTAGTCATCCACTGATAGACTGTTACTTAATTATATCATACCTCATCAGTTTAATGGCTAGAACATATAATTGCTTTAAGCCGGGATCGAAACCCGTCCGATTGGTATCATTCAAGATTCTACTTACATTGCTATCGTCGGAAGGGAAAATTTAACGTTTTTACTATGCAAAAGACGTCGGTAACTGAGAGATTTATTTGAGTAGAGGAACATTGTATTAAAGCAGCAGACACTGTTTATATATATATATATATATATATATATATATATATATATATATATATATATATAGATATCTTATTTAGAGAGAAGAGTCACCGTGGCCCTATAACCGTAAATCAAACCTGTGGAAAATACGCGATCCCATCGGAAAACGTAAGCGAAACCACCGGCCTTGCTGTTTCGTATTTGGGAAATGTTACTTTTAAGACCCTCTTGTTTTTCGACCATTCAAAATATTTGTTGCATATATACAATGTTTATATATATATATATATATAAATTCTCACTCTGCTGTCTTGTCCTCGGCAAGTGAACAAGCAGAATACCGAGGAATAAACAAAAGGAAAAGAATATGAAACGTTCAGAGGACTCAAATGACCGTGGGGGTTATGGGGAGTTAGGCGTATTATTAGGTTAGAATGTCGGTCCCACCCTTTCACTATCGAAACTCTTAAATGTAACCGCCACTTCCACTCGAACAGCTTCTCTTGCACTTCCCGACACTGAAACTCCCTTCCTCTTGTTTCACTGATGGCTATCATCATCAAATATTTAAATGGGATGTCAATCGACATCTTCTGATGCCTTGATCCTATTTCTACTTTTTACCCTTTTCTCAATCTCTCCCCTATACCCAGCCTTTTGTCTTACTTTCCTTTGTGACGTAAGGTGGCCGTTAGTAATTTAGTATAACCCAAGACTTCAGAGTTATAATAAAACAGCATTTAATGACAACCGCAAAAATACAAATTCCAGAGACGTATATACAAAGTTATAAAACCTTATCTCGTCTACAGTCACTTTCACACAGACGTGCTGTGGCTTCCCTGTGTCTTTTCTACAAGGATTTCCATGGCAACTGCTTTGACGAGCTACTTTCACCGGTTCCTCGACTGCATGAATTTAAGCGTGCTACTAGGTTGGCATCTAAATGAACCCTTTTACTGTCGAAACAGTTAAATGTAACCGCCTCTTCTACTCCAACAGCTTCTTCTCTCGCACTTCCCGACAGTGGAACTCCCTTCCTCTTACTTTCGTCCTTGATGGGTATAATCTTCAAATATTCAAATGTAATGTCAATCGACATCTTCTGCTGCCTTGATCCTGACCCCCGTCCTTCTCTATTATCTTTTACTTACCCAATCTTCTCTTGCTCACACTCTCTGTAACCACTTGCGTGCTAGTGGCACCCTCGCCATGCTTGGGGTTATATGCTTAATAAATAAAACGTTTGGCGTAAAATTTGGACGGATTAAATAAGATTGGTAGAAAGTAAAACAATATTAAATGAAAAATAAAACAAAAAATAAACTTTTGGTTGATTTTAAAGAAGGTCGCAGGAAATGATTTATTCCTGTAGAATAGATTGATAGAAATACTAACGACTAATAAATACGAAAAAAAAAAAAAACAAGCAATTAGTGAAATGTCTAACTGTTTAAAAAAATATCGCCCTCGAGGTTTTTTTATCTGAATAATGAAATGATAAAACCACAAACTGTGTACGGTCAAAAAAGTTTTCATCAAACTTTGGTCCCAGTGAAAGGAGGTCGGACGACACAACTTGTACCGGCAAAACTGATTTTTATAATTTTGAAAACAAGTCGGACGACAGGACTTGTACCGGCAAAATTTATTGATAGATTCACAAATAGTGAGTGTGGATAAAAACGTTTTTATTAAGTGTTGTTCCGATTAAAAAGAGGTTAGACTGCAGGGCTTGTACTTGTAAAATCGATTGATTAAAACTTAAATATTAAATGGGTAAAAATAACGTCTTTATTACTGTTATAGGTTGATCAATAACAGGTTGGATCCCAAGATGCAAATTGTAATGTAAATTCACTCAAAATATTTGCTTAAGTTATAAAGAATGGAAAATCTTTTGATCAAAAAATGTCGGTCAGATTAAAAGGAGGTTGGTTTGCAAGACTTTTACTTGTAGAATCAATTGATGGATGCATAAACAAATAGGGAAAGAAAAAAAACGTTTTCATCAAGTGTTGGTCGGATTAAAGGAATTGTACCGGTAGAATTGATTGACAGAAGCAGAAAGAAATGCGAATAAAAACATTTTGATCAAAAGATGATTGGATTACATAAAGGCACACGAGAGAAAATTTGATGGATAAGGAAGTTGGAAATTAAAATGAAGCTAGGTTAAATTTTGGAAAAAATGATAGGATTGAAAGGACATGATGAAATGAAATCTCGTTTGAAGGTCATTCTTTCTTCTCGTAACATACTGTTAGCCGGCCATTGATAAGAAGAAGCAAGGAGAAAAAAGATTTCTGAACGGATTTATACCTAAGAGAACCTAACTCTTGAGCTTTTCTAATTCTTGCAAACTGTACATCTCCGGAAAAGGATAATGGTTCCTTAAATTGTTTTATTTAAAAATATCTTCATCTCACTCTGCATACATAAATCTCTCTCTCTCTCTCTCTCTCTCTCTCTGTATATCTATATATCTTTATCTATATATCTATCTATCTATCTATCTATCTAATATATTTATATAAATATATATATATATATATAACGTCATCCACAGACAGAGTAAAAAACAAAAATTTAACAGCTCAAATTTTAAGGAAATTTATAAAATAATAACTTTGTTGCCATTTTAAATGTGGTAATTAAGTTTAAGCGTTTAAAATGATTTTTTTTTTTTAGTATCCGATTTAATATTTTTTTTTTTATATATATATTTTTCTTTTACATTTTTTATGGAAAACGTCTTTATTTATAGAATGAATATATTTAAGCAAATCTGTTCCTAATATAAGTAAATTAAATAACAAAGGATTCCCCTGAATAATCGAGAAATTCAAATAGGCATTGATTATTTTTAAATTTTGGTGAGTGTTCAATCATTGGTTTGTAATAACAATTTAAAAAAAATTCTTAATTTCATATAGGTTTAAAAAAAAATTTGTTCAATTATTTAAGAAAAAATATATATATATATTATATATATATATATATACTTTCAATAAAATTTACAAATCTCTAATTAAATTTGAAAAGAAAATGCGTTCTACGGCAAGAATCGAACCTGAGTCTCAAATTAAATGTTTTAAACGGAACCTATGCTTTAAAAAAAGCCTTAATTATCAATAACAAAGAAAATATTTTTGGTCCCCATGTTTTTTGAAACAATTTTAAAAATGACAAAAATAAAAAAAATTATTAAAAGCTTTTAATTTTATTTACCAAAATAACGCATAAATAATCTCATGTATCAAGCTCTAATGTTAACTTTAAGAAAAATATTATTAGCGGTAATTCTGTTGCGTAATTTTCTCAGGGATTATATGGTATAATTGAAAATAATAACGATAAAAATAAAATGATTTTTTACCAACGCCATTATGAAAAAACCTATACATTTAAATTCTCTTTTTTTTTTTTTTTTTTGAAAAAAAAAAAGGCTTGAAGATATATACCTGATGTAATTTATCATAATTGTCCAATTTTATGGTATCACAGCATGGTCGGTTTAATTTTTAATATTCATATTTTTTTTGTTAATCATTTCTAAAATCAAATAAATTTGATAAAAAACCAAGGCTTCTTTTTGAATGTAAAAGAAATAGAAAAAAAAAATAAAATTTAATCAAAAGGAACCATACATAAATATGCCATGATGATGTGGACATTGCATTTATATATATATATATATATATATTGGAAAAATTTATCAGAAATAAGTTTAAAAAAAATAGAAGAAACTGAGATTCCGTAAATATATGATTAATTAATTATGAACATGTAAAATTCCTTTATAGATATTCCATCAATATTTTCTGTTAAGTTTGTAAAGTAGATTAAAGAAGAAAGTTCAAAAGAAAAATAAATTAGTATTATAAAAAAATTGTAGAATTCCAGTAAGATATTTTTAAGTAACTGAAAAAGATACATTGCCAAAATTTTAGTAAAACAAATAGACAATGGTATTTTTGAACATAAGAATTTAAAAAAAATTTTGCTGTTACAAGTATATTTATCCATCACGCAATGTTTAACTGTTAAAATCCAAGAAACTAATTGAGTTCCTTTTTCCCCAGATTTTCATTTATCGTTTATTTGAGTTATTAAGATTTATGAACGAAAAATTTGAAATCGTTTTCTAATCAGTCCACTGTGTCTTCCCAACTGAGCAAATAAAGAGGAAAAAAGATTTTCAGACGTTCAATAATGAATATGTTTTTATTTTACATTTCAATGTCCTTTCAAGAATCAAGACAAGGTTAATAAGTTTTTAAAATTAATGGATAAGTAGTTATGTATAATATAAAGATCGTAGTGTGACGTCGCCCCCCTGGTCGCAGCGTCGACTGTGTCGTTCAATCGTTCGCGGGCACCAGTTGTGACGTCACGTGCTCTCCAGGCTCTGATATCCTGGTCACGGACAGCACCAGTTGTGACGTCTTTGCCGCGGCGTCAGCTGTTCGCTCCTCGCTGCTCCAAGTGTGACGTTCTAACCCTTTGGTTAGATGAATACCAACCTCGTCGTTCCCAA